TAAGGCTAGGGCCGCCCAGGTATGGCCTTACACGGCATGTGCTGCCCCGACCCGATCGTCCGCCTGCACAGGCGTGGCTTTATGGATGCCCCCCTCGTCGAGGGTAGTCCGATCCAGGTGCAATGGGATACAGTGGAAGGAAGATGGGTGTGGCTTAGGGCCTCAGTGGGGGAAGAGACTCTTTACTTCGTCTGCACTTACACTTCGAATGACCCGGCCCAAAGAGTACAATTATTTTTGTCCCTGCAGCAAAAACTCCCTAGAGATGCCCCCATCATCATGATAGGGGACTTTAACACCACACTGGACCCGGTCCTCGATCGAAGGTCAGCATCCCAGCACCAGATGCTGTCTGCTCCACAGGATCCCCAGCGAGTCAGGGGCCTGAATAGCAGCATGCTGGGCCACATGATGGACGGTATGGACCTTGTTGACTCATACCGGGTTCTCCACCCCAATAAGAGAGCCTATGCTGGCGTGCGCTCCAAGGGAGCTGCTGGGATAACCAACTCCAGAATAGACATGTGCATCCTGTCAAAAGACATGCAAGACCTGTTGACGGTGGCAGACATTTTGCCCTTCTCCCCCTGTAAATCCTTTGACCACCGGATGACGGCAGTTGGCCTATCCTTTCATGGCCACATAGCTAGAGGTCTGGGTTGGTACAAATTCAACACCACCTTGCAGAAATTGCAGTCCTTCAACAAAATGGTGAAGGACTATTGGGGATATTGGACGACAAAAAGACAGAAAACGGTTCCACTGTCAAATGGTTTAACGAGGGGGTGGCACAACTAAGGGACGAGCGAAAAAGTACTCGATCAAGCATGCGAGAGAACGAAAAGCGGTCGTTGACCGCATGCTGTTGCAATTAGAAGACTGGGACAAAAAACTAACAGACAACCCCCTGGATCAAGAGAGTTATGACGCCCTACAGTTGGCCAGAGGGCAGTTACAACAATACCTTGATTCTCAAACGCAGAAATGGAGGGTATTGGCCAAAATAAAAAAAGATGCCTCTGACGGTATGATGTCCAAGACATTCTTTGCTAAGGCAAAAGCGAAGAGTAGGCAAAACACAGTGCCTTCCCTCAAGCATTTGTTAGATGGAGCACAGCCAATAGCAACAATCGCATATCGAATAGTGGAGCATGCCTCACTGTACTATCAACATCTGTTCACATCACACTCTGCACAAATGCAACCCGAAATCTTGGACGAAGCGAGACACTCTCTCTGGACGGCCCTGCCTTCACAGCTAACAACGACAAAGAGGAATCGACTGGAAGCCCCCATCTCTATGTCGGAGATATACCAAGCATTGCAAGACATGGACGATGAAAAAACACCCGGTATAGACTCTTTCCCAAAGGAGTTTTGGCTCCACTTGTGGGAGGTCCTAAAAGAAGACTTGGCCGCCTATGTAAATGCCGTCTGGTTCACCCACCAACAGCTGATGGATCTCTCAACAGCAAGGTTCAGGACGAACTTCGCCTGGACACTCAGCAAGGTCTTGGTGTTTATGCAGCTCCTACTAGAAGACAATGTGTTGCAAGAGCACAATCGCTGGCACGACCCCCCCACTGTGCTCCCTCTCAAGGCAGTGGACTGAAACACCCAGCGGATGCATTGACACAATCCATACACAGATTGAATGTCGGAACGTCGTCTGGTACCCCAAGCGGCTGAGCTGTTGACAGGCCAGCACCATCTCAATCACCCGCCCCTCCCGCCACATAGCATCCCGCCTGCACAGTCACACTCGGCCCACCATCCCAACATCGACCCGCCGCTCCCTCCTCCCCCACCCGTGCCCTCTAATGGGAGGCCGCAGCCTTCTGYCCTRCCACCCCAACGCCCGCSCTCCCCTCCGGTTTTTCCTCCTATAAGGAAGCCGCCCCACTGGGCTACAAAACTGGCCAAAGCGGACATTGATATCCGTTCGCTCAATGTCAATGGACTTATCCACGCATCGGTGGACAAGAAGGAYGCCATTTGGAATATGCTCAAATGCCAGATCACAGGCAGATGGCCGGATGCAGTGTGTGTCCAAGAAACACACCTCCAAGATACACCGCCGCATGCAGCAAAGGCAAAAGTGATCTGGCCATACACAATCTACTCGGCACCGGCTACACAAAGGGCGTCGGCGGGTGTTGCTATCTGGCTCCCGCCCACCTCAAGGCTCAAGCCGATCTCGTATGACTATGATCGCCACCACGGAAGATGGGTGTGCCTTAAAGTGGGGCACAAAGAAGATGAATTTTATCTCGTCAGTATATACGCACCCAACGACCCGACGGACAGGGTGGACTTCTGGATCACCCTCCTGCAACACCTCCCGGGTGATGCCCCGCTCATTGTCGCAGGTGATTTTAATACAACGCCTGACCTGGTGATGGACGGGAGATCAACCTCGCAACGCGACACACCTTCGGCTTCCTCGCAGCCCATCCCGGGCCCGGACATCCTGATGCTGCATCAGCTAATGACAGATAAAGGACTCGAGGACGCATACAGGATGTTGCGCCCGTCTCAAAGAGCCTACACATGCTTCTCAGCTAGAGGGGCTCGCTACCTTTCCAACTCCAGGATCGACCTTACATTAGTGTCGAAGGACCTGCTAGGACTGGTCACCACAACTGAAATCGCAACGGCCAGCCCATGCAAGTCCTTCGACCATAGGATGATCACATTGGGGCTGTCCTTTCACAACCACATCCAAAGAGGCCCAGGGTTTTACAAATTCAATTCTTCCCTGTTGTCCTTGCAGCGATTTAAGGATATGGTCGATGAGTTTTGGAGATACTGGCAATCTCAGAAACCACAATCAATACTGGTATGGCACAACTAAGAGAAAGGGCAAAGAAATTCTCCGTTCAGCATGCGAGAGACCGGAGGGCAACCCTCGACAACCTCATGCAACAACTAGAGAGTTGGGACGACCAGCTCATGGAGGATCCGCTTCACCGCCCGACCTATGAACGAATGCAACAGGCTCGGGATCACCTCCAATCCTATATAGATCAACAAGCCCAGGCCTGGAGAATCCAGGCAAGGATCAAAAAGGAACACACAGATGGAACAATGGTCAGGGCTTTCTTCAACAAGGCGAAGGCTAGATCTAGGGCAGCAACGGTCCCAACGTTGAAACACCCGCTGAATGAAACTGCCCCGCCCGCCACCAATGCCTACACTATATCAGACTACGCCTCCCGGTATTACCAAAATCTCTTCACATCGCAAACCCTGCAGAAAAMCCCCGACGATGTCAAGCAGGCAAGAGAATCACTGTTGCTTGCTATCCACTCCCGCCTCACCACTGCACAAAAAGGGGAGCTAGACAAAGCCTTGTCCTCCGAGGAGATCTGGGAGGCCCTGCAGGGAATGGAAGACGAAAAGACCCCGGCTATAGACTCTTTTCCTAAGGAATTCTGCGTTTCGTTTTGGGACCTCCTACGTGATGACCTGATGGAATATGCTTCAGCTGTGCAGAGAGAAGGGTCGTTCGGCGGGATGATAGGGCAGGGAGTTACCACACTCCTTTACAAGAAAGGGGATAGGGAGGACATTAGAAACTATAGACCGATCACTCTCCTCCCGGTCCCATACAAGCTGGTCTCCAAGGCCCTCACCAATCGTCTGCTGCCGCTGATGAACATGCTGATTCATCCGGATCAGTCGGGGTTTATGCCCAATCGCAATATCCAAGATAACGTTCTCCTAGTCAATGAGACTATTAAATACGCCCGCCAGCGTAGGGTCCAAGCAGCAATCTTGTTCATCGATTTTGAAAAGGCGTATGATCACGTTGACTGGGATTTCTTGGATATGTGCCTCCTTAAAATGAACTTTGGGCCGACCTTTTGCCGCTAGGTGCAGCTTCTTCATAGGACTGCAACCACAAACGTCATGCTCAATGGCCATTTGTCACCGCCAATCCGACTCCAAAGATCGGTCAGGCAAGGGGACCCCATAGCGACATTGCTCTTCGTTATCATAATGGAGGCCTTGGCCTTGCTCATCAGAGCCCACCCTCTCAACAGAAAAATACCGGTTCCGGATCTCCCGGACCACCTCATCCCGGTCACGTCACTGTTCGCAGACGACCTTACAGTGCTCATCAACGCAGATGCGACTAGCCTGCATGCGGTCACCCAAGTCATACACCTTTTCTCGCTGGCAGCAGATATGAAAGTCAATTGGGGGTCCAAAACACAAGGATGGTGGCTTCACCCCCAAGGGGAGCCACCCCCCCCTGAACCGAGTGTCGCATGGGCACCCCGGGAAGAGGCCATACGAATCTTGGGGGTGAGATTGACGGCGGTGGGTCCCCACCGGATCATGGTGACATATTGGTCACCACGGCGGTTGACCGCTTGGCCAGATGGGATGGGCTACACACATCCTTGGTGGGCCGCGCTCTTGCAATTAATAATGCAGTGTTAGCAGCCATCTGGTATAAACTGGCAGTATGGCCGCTAAAACCCCAACAATACAATAGACTCAGAAGAGCGCTTACAACCTACCTGTGGAAAAATAAGGCAGACTCTCATAACTGCAGTAGCAGGGTGAGCTGGGATGTCCTCACCCAGCCAAGAGCCAAAGGGGGGAACTAGGGATACTGGACCCGGAGAGAGAAAGCGAAGCCTTGATCTTCAAAGTCCTGGTCAGACTTCTCATAGGCAACGATATCCCATGGGCCCCCCTGGCCTGCCTACAGATATCTGATCTGGCCCCGCAGACCGCTGCGTCTGCCCGGTTGCACCCCTTCAGATGGGTCACTAACTCCCATTGGTCAATACCCGGCCCCCCACAGCAACCCTATGCTGGCACCCCGACACAGGCCACCAGGCAGGATATTCCCCTGGACCCTTTGTGGCCCGACATGCTCAAACTTTGGAGGAGAAGGGGTCCGAAGCAGAAGCGCCTGTCGAACCACTGGCACGATGTGTGGAGACAACCGCTGTTTGGTAACCCTTATATTCTGGACGATGCAGGTAATCCCTTCTCTCTCACCTCCAACTCGTCGTGGCTCACCTGGGCAAAGAAAGGTATCTTTACTGTTGGGGACCTATGGGACCCGAGCACAGAGGACTGGATAACCACTGATCAGCTGCAGCGGAGATTGAAATACGCCAGGTCAGTGGCGGCCAATGCCTGTCAGCTGAGAGAGGTCAACCCACTGGCCTGGCGCCTCGCCCTCAAAAAGGGGCCCTCAGTTCAACAAAATGACTGGGTGGCCAGGTTCGCAGATCAGACTAGACCTCAAGTAATTTACAGAGTTCGGAGTACTGAGGAAGGCCGGTGCGCGTTAGAGGCCTACCAACCCCAACTTCAGAATGCCAGGTTCTCCAAGATCTATAGGACCGAAGACCTGGAYGCCGAYCACGCGTGGGGAGCGMTTATGCAAGTGAGGGTGGTGGGGGATGCCGACAAAGGATATTACGTGTATGAACCATCCACGCCCGTGGCAAGGCTGCCGTTCGACCCAGAAGAATGGGAATGGCCCGGGCACAAACCCATGGCCTTCTGGGAATACACGGTTAAAGGGGCCTACCGTGCCTCGTGCCCCGCACTGCCCATCAACCAAACTGTGACCCGCAGATGGGAACGGGACTCGCCGCTAGATGCACAATTGATAAATAACCTGTCATGGGCAAAGCTATTCAACAATCATGCCAACAAATCTTAGATCCTTGCAATGGCAGATACTGCACCGCTGCCTCCCCACCCCTGATTGGCTGATGTCCAGGACGAGTCTGGAACAGAAAGGACTTTTGTCCCCCATTTGCTCGTACTGTGGTAGAGCAACATCGCCGGCCAGGGCAACATTGGAACATTGCCTATTGGCATGTCCGATGGTCACCCAAATATGGCAATGGTGGGACGCAGCGTTCCACTATCTCACAGGTTATTACATCCCTTGGGATCTGGGTCTTCTCTTGCTCAGCAAAAATCAGCAGCTGCTGGCTCGATGGTCGCCCTACGCCGCCAACCTCTTCACCTACATGCGCCTCCACATGTTGATGCTCATGTGGCGAGCTAGGTGTGCCTTCGAAAGGAAAGATCACCAGTTTGGTCTGCAACAAGCCCATCAAGCGACGGAAGACGAGATCACAGCCCGAACGCTCGAGGCATGGAAAGAACTGAAACGGGCGTGCCGGCAGGAGCGGGAACCGGCTGCCAGGGAAACCATGGTTCTCACCTATCGCCAGCTGTGTCAGGACCCGAACAATAGATTCGCGGAGCTGACTGACGGTCTGGACATTCATTGGAAACCATGGAGGGCCACCGAATCCACCTGGAGGAGGAGACCGTTCAGCTGCTTCGAGGTCCCCTATCTCCCAACAAACTTTGTGCTTGTGCCGAACAGTCCGCAGCCCCCCCCTGCTACTCTCCCACCCCCTGCTCCAATCCACCCCGCCCTCCCACTCTGCTCCTCCCGTACCCACCCTATCCCCCTGTCCTTGCCCTCCCGCCTACCCTAATTGCTTCCCCTACACCCTCACATCCCTTTCATCCCGGGCCGGCAGTGGACTGCTGTACGAAAAGTGTGACAAAAAAGCATGAGAGAAGTGGCTACAAGAACGCAGCCGGGGACACCATTACCGGGGCAGTGACTCCGGGACTTCACATTGAGGAGCTCCATTGCATTACGGACATCTTCAGACGTCAGCAGGAGTCTGCAAGACAATAAGCTTGGATGCTGGAAAATCTCTCACTGTTGTTTATGGCCGTGGCTCCGGGACTTCACATAGAGGAGCCCCGTTGCATAACGGACAACTTCAGAGTCAGCAGGAGTCTGCAGGACAACAATCTCGGATGCTGAAAAAGCTTTCAGTGCTGTTTACACACGACATGCGGCCTCCAGTATCATTACCTCCCGATCCTCAAATGATAAGGGCTGCTGGACCTGGTTTCCAGCAGGTGCAGCTCCCCGCTATTGGAACGAAGCAGTTCGCAGACACTGGACTCGGAGGGGCTTCTGCTCCTATCTGTGTCTACCTGCGGCCACAGCTTAAAGGTTCATAATAACTGGGGCATGGTCCTCAAAATGATAAGGGTGGCTGGGCCTGGTTTCCAGCAGGAGCAGCTCCCCACTATTGGAATGGAGCCGTTCGCAGACACTGGACTCGGAGGGGCTTCTGCTCCTAACAGTGCCTGCCCTCGGCCACTGCTCTAAGATTCATAATAACTGGGGCAAGGTACTCGAAGAGGGTACAAGGTTTAGTATGTATAAATGGTTTCAGGAACAGGGGGGTTGGAATAAGGGGGGTTGCAGACACCGAGGATGGGAATTCAGCCACTAGCAGCACGACGAGCGCACAAGTCATAAACACGGCGACCACCATCCTGGTGGGGCTGGGCCAGTTGAAAGTAGGAGCTCTGTAATTTGGATGGGTAACATATGCAGCCCCGAGGAATAGAAAGAAGCTCCGACGCGTGAAACTCTACTGACCATATGCCCAACAAGCACTGTAACACAAATGTTGTATCCAATGGGACGCTGGACCCGGTTTCCAGCAAGTGCTGCTCCCCACCAATAGATGGAGCCTCCCCGGCGGTGCTAGATGTGTCTGCTCGTATCAGCACACCTAGCATCCGATCGGGTTGTTCTTGTAAAAAAAAAAAAAAAAAAAAAAAAAAAAACAACAACAAAGAAAACCTTTGGGAACATGATGGGACAGGGGGTTACGACATTGCTGTACAAGAATGGGGATAAGGAGGAAATCAGAAACTACCGACCGATCACCCCTCTCCCTGTGCCATACAAGATTGTATCTAAGGCCTGGGCAAACATATTGTTACCCCTCCTCCCGCACCTCGTCCACCCAGACCAGTGAGGCTTCATGCCATATAGGAATATCCAAGATAATATCTTACTCGTAAATGAAACTATAAGGTACGCGAGACAGAAAAATGTTGAGGCGGCAATATTGTTCATTGATTTTGAGAAGGCATACGACCATGTAGACTGTGACTTCTTGGGCATAAGCCCTGTCAGAATGAATTCCGGATCCGTCTTTTGCAAATGGATAGGCATTCTACACAGGGAAACGACAACTAATGTTATGCTCAACGGTCACTTGCCCCCCCCGTTCCCTCTGCAGAGATCTGTGAGACAAGGGGACCTCATAGCCCCGATGCTCTTTGTCCTGGTGATGGACGCATTGGCAGCAATGATTAGGGCCAACCTAGACATCCAACGAATCCACGTCCCTGAAATCCCCGCCCATCTGATCCCAGTCACCTCCTTATTTACAGATGATCTCACAGTGCTCTTCAGAGCAAATAAGGAAAGCTTCCCGGCCTTAGCGCAAACCATCCACCTGTTTGAGATTGCTGCAGACATGAAGGTTAATTGGGGCATGTCCAGTTGATGTAGCTCAGTGGTTAGAGCACCGGTTGGAAATGCGCATTGTGGTATAAGGTTGCGGGTTCAAATCCGTAACCTGGTGCATGAACACCAGCAGGGCGTTAGAATGACGCACGGCTGGACACACACACCCTCGGGATGACGCAGGTTAGCTATTACAAACAGTGCATGCGCACCACCCAAGGGTTGTTCATGGTGTTGTGTGTTGGTTCTGGGTTTCACATGGGTTGCTTGGGGTGTTGGTCTTGGGTGTTCTGTTGATCTCCCCAGTCTGGCATATCACACGTTCGTGTCATTTCCACTAGTTGTTCACATGGTAGAGTCATACGATTACATGTTACAAGGTCACGGGTTCGATCGTGGTTCGGACCTTGGGGGGGTCCCTGTCCAGCTTATCCCGTTCTCTCTTCGATATACACACATGATGCTGCCTATACATCTCGATACATTGATTCACAGAGCACACAGCCTTCGGGCATATACATAGCTTGCGAATTATACATGGCCTATGGGCTACATACACACAAGTGATTCACAGAGCACACAGCCTTCGGGCATATACATAGCTTGCGAATTATACATGGCCTATGGGCTACATACACACAAGTTTCCACACATAGTGCTGTCTGTACATCTTTTTTTTTTTTTTTTTTTTTTTTTTTTGCTAGGTTTCCTGATCTGACCCCCAGGACCCCCCTTACCCTCCGGGGTTTTCCCCTACCAAAACCATTCAAAAAACCCCCCTTGGCAAACTGTCCGAACCAAAAAAAAAAAAAAAAAAAAAAAAAAAAAAAAAAAAAAAAAAAAAAAAAAAAAAAAGTCCTCCAAAAATGGCAAAAAATGATTTAAAAATCTGAAAAAAAAACTAAAACTATGTTATGTGGAAACATAAACTGAACAACTTTTGCCTTGGGATGATATCGAAATTCGTTGTCAATTTTAAAATAAAAAATAAAATTAAAGGCACCCCCATTTTTTTTTTAATGTTTTCGTGCATTTAATTGCTAACAATGGAGTTGTCCGGGCCCGGATGTTCAGGACCCCCCTGACTGTCCACCCAGGACATCTGGCCAGGACGTCCTGCCATCGGACAACTCCATTGTTAGCCTGGGCGGAAATTCAGGGGGGTCCCGGACGTCCGGGCCCGGCGTCCGAAGTTCCCGTTCGACCAGGCCCGTCCAATTCTAGTGGGCGTGTAGTAGATTGTCTGGGCCTGGCGTCCGAAGTTCCCGTTCGACAAGGCTCATCCGATTCCGCTTCCACCAGGGTTGGGCAACCTATCAGCCCTGGTGCCTATCACTGTACAGGGGGGTCCCGGACGTCCGGGCCCGGCGTCCGAAGTTCCCGTTCGAAGCCCCAGTCAGGGCTGGGAATCACTAGTGGGGCCTATAGTAGATTGTCTAGGCCTGGCGTCCGAAGTTCCCGTTCGACAAGGCTCGTCCGCTTCCACTTCCAGCAGGGCTGGGCAACCTATCAGCCCTGGTGCCTATCACTGCTGTTCGGTCCAAGTTACCTGCCCATTGGTAGGGTAATGGTCCCGAGTGCTGGTCACACTGAGGTAGGATAGTGGGATAGGGGGTGCGCTAGGAGTATTGACGTGAGGATGGGATGGGAAGTGGTCTCATATTCCAGGACACCCACGGCCTACTGCTCCAGGCGATCACTGTGTACTCAGTGACTGGCCTCTACAACACTAATTGGGGCACTAAAACAGAGGGGTGGTGGATACATCCGCCAGACCCCCAGGTGTCCCGGAAAGAGA